GGCGCGCCAGCCAGGTCCGCCTCCGCCCGGCCGTCTCACCCCGCCTTCGCTCGCCCGTGCCCCGGTCCGCGTTCGCACCCTGCTCCCCCGCATTTCTTTTTGCCTTCCCGGTCCGCCAGAGGCGCCAACCCCGGCTCCCACCCTGACCCGCCCTGGCCCCTTCGGCGACCGACCGAGGCGAAACGACGACAGACAACACAAACAACACAGCCTCTGCCTCCAAGCCAGGCCCCGCCACCGCCCGCGCCTCCGCCTCTCCTGCTCGGCCCGGCCCTACCGGCGCGGCCACCTCACCCCGCAGCCCCGCACCCTGTTGCCTCTCGCCGCCCGCCGCTCCAGAGCTCACCAACCCCCGCATGCGCTCGCCCCCACCCTGTCCCTTCAGTGCCTTTACGCCCCAGCGGGACCTCACGCCTCCAGGCCTCGAAAACAACACCCGCCACTGCACGCGCGCTCCCGCAGCCCCCGGCCCCCCACCACCCGGCGCAGGCCACCTCACCGACACTCGCCACCTTTGCCCTTTCCCGCCCGCCAGAGGCCGCCTCCGGCCGGCCAGGTATCTACGCGCATCAACTAATGACACTGCAGTGCCATGACAGGGGAAACCCCGTAAGTTTCCAGACCCAATGTGGCAAGATTTCGACATCAGCTTCATACATTAAGGCTTCAAGTTCAGCCGCTTCGAAGGAATTTCTAGCAGGCCGGTTGTTCTGGATCGCGAGTTTTACGTTGATACCTCCCCGGATCAACTCCCAAGGAATCCGTAGTATTCCCTAACAAACGGCGCGACGCGCCGGGATCTTGTAGATTATTTTTCCTTCCCCTTTCCTCGCCCATTACTTCTCCTCTCTCTCTCTCGTTCTCTCTCTCTCTCCTCCTCCCTCCTCTCTCCTCTCCTCTCCTCTCTCTCTCTTCTCTCATCTCTCTCTCTCTCTCTCTTCACACACACACACACACACACTTCACATGCACTTATGGAGAGAGCTTAGAGCTCGTCCGCGGATGGGGCGGTGCCCGCTGATGCGGAGGATACCTGGTTGGCAAAATCTCGCCGGCAACGCGCAAAATCTCCGCCGCGGCAGGGTCGGCGTGGCGATCACGCTAGCCAGCTGGAGATCACTGTCACCTCCCGCGATAAAAACACGCACTGCACTTTCGGATGTAATAACCTTAGCAATTGTCGGCAATCCAGAATCAATCCAATCCGAATTTCAGAAAAGCGCCGCCCCGGTGCGATCCCGCTCCGCCTTCTCACCGCCCCCGCCCCCACATTGCCCCTCCCCTGTACCTTCTCGCCCCCCCCCCAGATTAGCTCATCCTCCAGCCTCGCCCCGCCCCCACCTTGCCGGCGCCCGGGCCCGCCCCTTCTCGCCCGCAGCGTCGCCTTCCGCCCTTCCCTCCACCCTCCCTCGCTCCCCCGCCGCCGCGGGCGTTAAAAGGGCGCGCGAGGGGCGTCGGCGGCCTTTCGCGTCGCCCTCGCGTGCTCCCTGCCGTGCCGTGCCGCGCCGCTCCCGCGTCGCTCGTCTCCAGTGCCAGTGCTGCCCCGAGCGTGAGATGGCGTGCTTGCGGACGACGGCCCCGGCGGCGCTGCTGTGCTGCGCGCTCCTCGCGGCGGCGGCGGGTAAGTGGCGGCGTGGACGCCTACCGCTTCACAAGCACGGGTTGGAGAGTTCCGGTAGAAATAAGGGGGCCTGACGAGATCGTTATTATCAAAATCAGCACATCAGTTTTTAATAAAATTATGACAGTCATAAAGTTGATTTCATTAGTTTTACGTAACCTTCATGATTAGTACATTACATAAGAGGCCACATCCTAACTAAATCAAAGTTCGTACTTAGTTACAAAACAAGACATCACTGTTCGTCAGATTCAAAATAGAATGCGTCACGTTTTGGATGTGTCTGTTGCTGATGTTTTAAACAAAATCAACAGCTCAAGAGAGAACGACCACGAGAAAAATGACGACTGCAGTTTGTTATTATTTTTTAAATCAGTTGGAATATAAACACTGCTCTCCCCTCTTCTTCATGAAGTTCAATAATCTCAATTTTACCCAAAATGTCAGATACAATTATTTATTACACACTCACATGTGTTTAACTTCGTAACTTTAAGTTGGTCAATTATGTTGGAAGCGATTCTGTGAGTACAATATACATTTGATAGTATTACCTTCCTTGCTTAGTATTACCAGCGCACGTTTTCTTGAACCCTCGCTTCACTAGATGCGAGAAGAGAGGGAGGTTTGATTGTTTTGTCGACAGGACTATTGTATCAAATCTGTAGCTCGCTTGCAAAATAGTTTATATTACGAGGGAGCGAACATTTCTGATACCAATTTTATCAAAAACGCGGGTTCCTATTGTTTATTATGTATCTAACTGATGTTAGTAAAGGAGTGGGGTTAGGTATTCCAGGGCTCAAGAAAACGTACGTACAGGTATAATATGCATGCTTTAGATTACTGCGACTAAGTTAACTAGAAATTAACAAATCACGTTGTTAGAACTTTGTGTTCATATTAATAAAACCAATCACTCTTCCCCGCCACTGTTCCATTAGTTTACGCTTCTTCTCGGCTTTCGAGGGATATTCATCAATTTGGTGCTGCGACACTTTGATATCAATTTTTTTACGATCGACTTTAACTTTCAAGAAACCATTATTGAAAATCTCTTCGTGCTCTGTCCAAACCTTTTGCTTTATTCGGCAATGTTCAGGCTTATCGATGTTTTCTGATGTGTGTTTTTAACAATGCAATGCTCTAAAACAATGTTATTTGTTTACTTGTTCCTTTCGTAGCCGTCCCACACTCTGCGTACAGGCCTGCATGTATTGCCGTCTGTGGTGCGTAAAATTTGCGGGGAGGGGGGCATCAAAAGAACTGTGTAGCTCCGCGGAATTTTAGTTCAAATCGCGACAATTTTTAAAAAAATGGAGGGAAGAGTAAGAACCACTTTCACACGATAGATTAAAATAGTCCAATTAATTCAATAATGTACTATGGTAGTAAAATTGGAAAACTCTGGCAGCCACAGAAATTTGCTACAGTGGTGAGGGAAAGCAATGCGGAGGTACCCCCTCTCCTGCCTTATCGGTAGCAATTTATAATATTATTTTCACACACACTTTTGACTAATGAAGAACGTCGTCACATGTTAGTGTCCCAGTTAGGCTATTGTTTCACGATATGAATGCCATGTAAAACTATTTAAATATCATCGTTTTAATATGTTATTCCAAAAGTGTCTTTAGTTAAAAATAAAATTAGAATAAAAATCCAGGATGTAGGCGTACTTGAAAATATTTGGGGGATCATATCCCCCGCATCTCCCTTGCCAGAGACGCCCGAGTATGTATGGAATGCGAGGATTAGGAAGGCAGTAACCTGGTGTAAACGACTTTATTCCGCTAACAGCAAACAAGTATTATTGCATCTTGAGTATCGCAACATGTTAAAGTTGAATGTTACGTCATTTAACTCTTTGCCCGCACGCGTTTAATATATTGGCGTTGTTTACTTAGTTAAGGGAAGTAGATCCATTTGAAGTTTCAAAATGAATATTTGTTTTATTTGAACTGTCGATCCTTTATTTATCTTCTGTACTTGTAGGGTATATTGTGATCACATCTACTATTGTCTTTTCTACTGCATCCGTGGAGTAGCTGTACAAAATATACTTCTCCCAGTATGCGTCGATTATTTTTACTTCTGTCAACTAGTTCTGGAAAAGCTTAATAAATTTGGTAGAATAATCATTTCCTCCGAAATACACTTTCAACATTTCATTCTACTGATTTATAGACTGCCAAAAATTGTAATCAGAATTAGCTCGTGAAACTGGAGGATCTTTAACCGTCAACATCCGAACGAACGATTCACATTTTTTCCATTCGCGTTGAACACACAACATGTGTAAATTGTAAAGTTTAACATGCTAAAAGTAGAAGGTGGTTCAGCTTTTTTAGTTGTGTCAGGAGCCCCTGCGAACTGTTCACCCGGCCTTATATTTGGTGGTTTTAATAAACGAGTAGCATGTAAAAGTAGCTCAATAATATAGTGACTTTTAAAAATCTATGAAACTATTTCCAGCATCCTCCAATTGTATCGTTGATTTCAAGCAAGTGGATCAAGATAGGAACCTGGGATTTTTTTTCAAATTACTACTTATGGTTTAAGAATATGCTGTTAAACGTTTTGGATAGGTCGTATCCATGAGCAATGAAAAGTTAAAAACGGATCAATCCGAACCCGCAGAATTTGGTGCTTTTGAAAAGACATTTGCCAGTACAAATTGGCAGTTTTCAGTAGCCGCAATTTGATAGTATTGAGTTTGGGGTTTAGGAATGGGTGAAAGGAGTGAGTTAAGGAATTGGAGGATCGGAAAAATGCAGCAATACCAGATTGATTTCCCTAAATTTCTTTCGATTCCTGGCTATTTTTATATTCTATAGTCGATGTCAATCTTTTGACAAGTGGATGTGTTTTAAAAAATGTAGTCCTTTCCGAATTAAAAACAACAACAAACGCTTGTTAATGTGGTTCCCAGAGCAATTTGATTAGGGATATATAATATGATAGGAATATATAATAGAAAAATATTAAAAGAAAGAAATATCAACCTCCTGCATATATATGTAGTAAATATTGCTTTTATTCATTAATAATGCGAAAGTTACTTCGTCACGTAATTTTTTGGGGATTTGTAGTAGTTTTATTTATAATATAATAATTTGTGATGGAAAGGAAGAAAATATGCCCGTCAGTTAGTGTTCTGTGTCACAATCAGAGACAGTTCAATAATTTGCTATTTTGTAAGGAATTTTGTGGTCATGAGTATAATAAATTATAATCTATGACAAAGGAATGTGCGTTTTAATCGTTGCAATGATACGTTGGCTTTCTGAAATTTCGCGTGTTTTAAAAACTCTTGAACACACTGGAAAAATAGGTTCAATGTTTTTTCGCAACTTGATAAAATCTTTATATACTATAGCCGCGCATCACGTCTACCGCAATCAGCGCCATCGAATAGCGTTTTCCATTTGCCGCATTGGTGCGCACTGAGCTCACGTGCAAGGTAGCTTTCGTGTCTATTTGACCGCTAGGGCCCACCAGTGCGCATGTTCCATTCTCAAGATGACGCGGAGCTAGGGCGCGCTCAGGGCACCGTAACCTGCACTGAGGAGCTCGTCAGTGCAGGCAATTGCACCGGTCCGTTTTGGGGTTGAGTTATGAATGTTGATACTGATTCATGGAGAAATTGTGAAGGCAATTGTAGATCTTCTGTAACGCAGAAACTCTCCAAATAATGGAATATATCATGGTTTACAAAAAAATGTCTTAAATTAATTTTTGTAACTAACGCGAAGTTCGGAAAATCAGTTTGTGTTTTCATAAAATTTAAACTTAATGTTAACAAATCCAGTGCTATTTAGTAACCAACATGTAGGTACATCTCATCATTTTGAAAACCTAAGAAAGTAAAAATAAAAATAGTAATTAATGCCTTTTCAAATATGTGTGCCAAGAAATCATTTAAATGTATGTGCCATGTTTCTCGCACGCGAATAAATACGCCAGCGGAAATACTCGTATTAATATTTTTATGATTTTCAATAAGCAAACAATTCTGCAGAATCTTTCGGATCAAAATCTCGTAAAATGACAAATCTGGCATCTCAAAAAATTGAATTTTGACAGATAGGCCCTAAGTGTTTAAAATGTTTGCGCTAGTTTTTAAATACAGAAATCAAACGTTAATAATTTATGAATTGAGAAGTAAGAATTGCTAAGGATTTCGAACAAATTCTGTTAAAATGATTATTATTATTATTATTATTATTATTATTATTATTATTGTAATTACTATTACTATTATTATTATTATTATTATTATAGAAAATGTAACAACGATCATAATTCAAAATTCTCATTTTTCGAGTTTTATCAGTGTGACAGACCAAAAACGGCTGTCTATAATCTCACTGTGCAGCGCAGACGCACTGGCTCAGTGTGGGGCAGCACTGTTGCGGAGCGATGACGTTTTTGCCCTGCACTAGGGTGGGTTTCGAACATCGTATAGAAAACGCTATAAAACTTGCGCGTTATTTGTCCATATTATTGACACACAGTTCAGCTTCAATCCTGTAACTCCGCGGCTCCACGCACCTTCATGGTGCGTGCAAGTTCTTTTAACCACTTGTGTTTTTCCACAACAGATAGCTCATTTCCATAACGTTTTTAATTTTTAAATGCTTTGTTTGCAAATGTTCATGGCTATAAAAATTGTATTTTTTTGTTACTACAGTTCTCGTTTTAATTGCTGCAAGGGTTTTGGCCTCCTTAGCGACAGACGGGAGATTGATAGCGACGGCCATCAGAATATGGCTGCGGACCATATTTTGACAGAACGTGTTCACAGGAATATCGATAAATCATTATTTTAAAAAAATATTTTCTTAATAATCTATATAAGTACTATGTGACTTAATGCGTTAGAAGCTTCCCTGATAAGTTTTGAACCAATCAAAAAATGATGACCAAAAAATCAAACGACGCATTGGCAACATAGGAGTGTTATAGGGCGAAAAGATTACTGATTTATGAAGTATTAAGAATGCAACCGATACTATTTCTCATTAACCATAGTTAAATGCAATACATAAGGAGCTCCTTCGTCAGTAAGACCCCCCATAATCTTCAAGGTCGCTGTTGAAGCGGCAAAGGCATCCTGCCAACGTGACGGGCAGAACTTACCACTCGCGCGTTGTAGGCAGAGCCAGTGATGAGTCAGACATTCTTTGCTTCCTGTGAAGCCGAGCAGCGACTGCAACCACGAGTAATAAATGCCAATTGTTTTATGGGTGATTTTATAGGTCTATTTTTAGAAATTTAATTTCATGAATGAAAACGAACATAAATCTCCATTTTCTGCCCTTTTTGCTACATTGTAGAAAATAACGAATAAATATTATTTTAAGTTATTTTTATCAACGTATATTTGACAGAGATTGTTCCCGCGTTACCCCACAATAATTTTATGATCATCTAACATTACGGCGGAAGGCAACGTAATTGCGTTCCGGCACCTCGAAAACAAATTAGGGAAAAATAAACAGCAATCAAAGGACAAACACTTGGCAACTTCTATTTTTGTTTAACAAAATTTCGTAAACTGAAAATTAAACAAATGCACACGTAACTGTATAATTTACAGTTAATTAATATTAGTTAGTTATATATTATTATAATATTAGTTAGTTAACAGTATAATTTACGTCACAGTTTTTACTAATAATATAATTACAAATGTAATGAAATTATTAGTAAAAACTGAAAAAATATCGTTATACACTCTCATTTTTTAATTAGTACTGTTATCATTACATTGACATAGAGCCAGTGCTACTACTGTTACTAGTACGATTTATAATTATTAAATTATATTATAAATATATAATTATTTCTATTAAATTAATAATTCATTTGGGGCGAGATTTAGGACCTTAAGTTTCATAAATTAAGCTTACATTTACTACAAATGTCAGAAGACCCAGTCAGAAGCTTATAACCTGTCTCGGCTTGGGCAATGGCCCGTTGGCGGAGATACCTGAGGAAGTAAAACCTCACTCGCGAACGCAGAGAGCGCCGAATCTCACGTTCGAGCGGTGGAGAAAAATCTCTCATGGGATACACTTGTATGTACACTGTACACTACAGAATGTAAACACTCGTGGGACTCGTGGAAATAACCGTTGACGCTCCGGGAAACACAGAACTGAATATTTTCAGCAAACGCTGTTGACTATAACTACAACACTCTACGTAGTAATCATATTCATCAGGTGACAGTATCAAAAGCTCACTACAAAAAATTCACATATAATACATGTACATTATTTTACAACACCTTGCCAGATGACATTAAACAATTAACTTCGATACAAAACTTTAAGTCCTAAGTAAACTCTTTTCTGCTGCACAACAGTTTCTATACAATTAGAGACTATACCGAGCATCCAAAAGGCAAGTAATATTCATTTTAACAATGACATTTAATGTATTTTTATACCATTTGGATTGTATAATTGTAAAGAACTCGAAGCAAGTATATGTACTGCAGCTTCGGGGTCAATGACCCCCATCTCGATCAGGTTTTCGTCCAGTTTCTCTGATCCTCGAACAAAAGCTGAGATGGCCCCTTGTTTTGCTTCTGGACATAAATGTAACTTCAAATTAACTTCTCCCCATAGCACGACACACAGTTTTTAACTGTTTTTTACGTAAATAAATAAAAAAAATAAAAAATAAAAATGAATGAATTAATTGATTAATTAATTGTCTAATTAATAAATATATTATTAATTATATGTCTATATTTAATAAATATATTATTAAATAAATACATAATTAATTAGATAATTAATTAATTAAATGGTCGATCAACTCCCATTTGCGTGTTGCTGCCATGTGGGCGTCATTGTGCGGCAGGTGGCGCGACGGCGGCGGCCCTGCCGCTACCGGAAGACGGCGCGTGCCCCGAGGGCTACGTCGTGTGCATGGACGGCGACGGCTGCGTGCCCTCCGAGGCCCTGTGCGACGGCACCCACGACTGCAAGGACCATAGCGACGAGCTGCCCTTCCGCTGCGGTGAGCCTGGCACTGCACTCGGCGCCGCGCTCCCTTCAACCCCACGCCCCTCTGACTGGCAAACTCACTTAGCCCCGATCCGCTCTGGCGCACCCTCCCCGCTCAGATATGCCCTGCATCATCGCGCCCTGCTCCGCTTCGTCCTGCGGCATTCAACTCCCTTCTCCCCGCCCCGCCCCGTCCTGCACACCATACAACCTCGCCCCGATCGCCTCGCCTGCGCCCCGCCCCGCCCGCCCAGCCCCGCCCCACCCTCCGCCCCGCCCCGCTCACCTTGCCCGTTTCGCCCCGCCCCCGCCCGCTATGTCAGCCTCGCCTCGCCAGCCTTACCTCGCCAGCCTCGCCAGCTCGCTCCGCGTCATTCCGCCTCGCCCCGCCCCGCCCCGCCTCGCGCCGCCTCGCCCCGCCTCGCCCCACCTCTCCCCGCCTCGCCGGCTCGCCCCCGCCTCGTTCCATTTCGCTTCTCCCCGCCTCGCTCCATTTCGCTTCGCCCGCCTCGCCCCGCCTCTGCCCCGCCTCGCCCGCCTCCCCATTTCGCTTCGCCCCCCTCGCCCCATTCGCTCGCCCCGCTCGGCCTACCCCGTCACTTTCCCTCTTCCCCCTTCCACCTGGCTTCCCCCTGCTCTGCTCCGCACAGTCCACTCCGCCCTTCCCGCCCCACTCCAAGCTGCCCCGCCCCGGCCTTACCCGCTTCACCCTGCCCCGCTACTACCCTCTTTCCCAACTCACTTTGCCCCGCACCGCCACTTTTAGTCCCGTTCCGACCCTTTGCCCCCTTCCGCGCCCCGCTCCACCCTACTCTACCTTGCCCCACTTTGCCTCGTCCCACCCTATCCCGTACCACCCTGTCCCGTTGACACCTACTCCGCCCTTTCCGTATCTCTCTGACCCGCTCCGCTCCTCCCTTCCCCGGCTCGCTCCGGATCCTCCCTCTCAAGCCACCGGTCCTACCCGGTCTTACCCCTCCACCCCACGTTGCCCGCCCCACTTCTTGTCCACCGAGATGCCAAGTCCCGCCCGACATATTCCACTCACAAGATCGTGATAATAATACCATACATAATAATATTCCACTCACAAGGTCGTGATAATACCTCACAAAGTCGTGATAATACCTCACAAGGTCGTGATAAACCACATAATCGCACTCGACCCGCGTCACCGCGCTCCGCCTCACCGAGTCTTTACGCGCTTACTTCCTCTTCGTTGCTCACCTGATCTTCCTCACTCCACCGGTTCATCTTGGATCATCCCGACCCCTCTGTCTCCACGCCTCTTTGCCACCGCTGACTCTTTCCGTCCGGATACTACCTGTTGCGCATATCTCTTTCCTTCTTCGGCCTCCCGAATTCGCCTCCTCCCTCACCGTCTCTTTGGTACCGCGCTTGTACACTCACGACCCGTGTCTTCCCGCCAGCCAACTTCTTCCTGCCTCGTTCCAAAGGCCCATCTCGATCTGCTTTCACGCACAGTTTCACGCTTTTAAGGCCCATTCACAATGTAGGCATAAACATAAGCATGGCGTTAACATAAAAGATAGATCTACGTCCATAAGCGGACTCATTCACAATGTGTTCGCATAACCATAACACGTAAGACGTTAACTTAAAGCTCGCAAGCTTCAGTGCTTATGCTTAAGTAAGACATAAGAAATGTACCAATCTCAGAACGGTAACTTAAAATCCAAAATCGAAATTGGAGTAAAATCAATAGAAGAACTAACGCCATATGGGCCCTGGACACAGACGATACCTTGTAATCGATTCTCACACCCAACCACTAGTAAACCAGAATGTCTCACAGACAATAGAAACTCCTATTTTGCTTACGTTTATGTTAGACATTGTGAATGCTTCAGTCTATCACTTATGGTAATGCTTATGTCTATGCGCTATGCTTATGTTTGCGTTTGCATTGTGAATGGGCCTTTAGCCCGAAACTTAGTACTTTACTGCCCCCACTTCACCTCGCCATTCCCTGCTCTTTCCACCGTTGTAAAGAGAAATGTGTACTTTTATGTGGCAGTCAGAACTTGCGGGCACATTGTTATGCACATATTCTTAGACAAGTTGATTCTTTTAGAATAAACTTTTCTGTGCCACAGCAATGCATATATGTCGTGCAGAACTGTCGTGAGCATCGAATGGAGTCCTTTCAAAGGTTGTGCACAATAATCGTGAATGCAGTCCTGATAAAACTGAATTTTTGTTCTCATAAAATGCATGAAGACATAGATTTACATTAATTATATTATCGTCACATCAATTAAAAAATATGTGAAGTAGTGGGCCTTACTTTCCCTCTGTATTTGTAACTTATCCAATTTTCGAAACTTCAGAGAGTTCAACGAAAATCAGACCTGCGTCATTTTTATAAGCTTACACGGAACTATTCGAGAAAAATAAGAAATTGGATCAGTTGTTTAGAAATATCTTTTATTAATAGCCTTTATTTCATGATAAATTATTCGAAAACTATTTATATTTTGAACATTTTTACATGATTTCGTTTGAAGACCTAATTTCGAAGATCACATTTTATTTTAAATCATCCCTATTTTCAATATTGTATTTTTAGAAGTCTCCAGAAATTGTAAGATGTTATAGTGCGAAGGAAGGAAATGAAAAGAAAAATAGGAAATTGTAGACTTACGGCGCCTGAAGTCGCTATACTTCCAACGCAAGTATGTGGCAGATTGCATACTCCTCATAAATCACAGGCGCGAGTGCAATAATTTGCTGAGAGAGATGTTGAGAATTGTCAATGCGTCGGAGTATATCTTTAACATTTGATACGTTGATAACTTTAGAAAATCACTGAGAAGCAATTTGCATTAAGATACTTTTGTTCGGGACATTTTCCCACAAATTATTGCATAAAGTGTGGGGAATCTTGTGCCACTCATTGCGTTCTCGCACAACCCTGCCTTGCCTGGACCCACTCCTCCCATTCTATCCCATCATGCTTATTACGAACATCATTCCTGCGGGTAAAGAGTCTACCGGTGCAGTGTTGGTTACTCCTGGCAAAGTTCCTGCAATTGCTCAAAGCGAATTATTGCTATTGGAATAAATTATAAAACATTTAGTAGGAACTTTCATGAGCTGTAAGGATGTATGTCGAGAAACGTACTTTGCTCTGTCTCATAAACGTTCTTCGCATCTATGAATACACTCGCCAAAACTTAGAGTGCACCTTAAAGTTATGTCTAATAGGTGAAAAAGAGGGATAGGGGAAATTTTTACGAAACCTGAATTTTTTCCCTTGTTTTGAAGATCTTATGTTCAAAATTTCATTAAATCAGAATAAAACTGTAGATTTGCGTGAAAGAAACAAATCTTCTTTTTGTAAGAGAAAATAATAATTTGAAAAAAGTAGTCAAAGTTATGCTCGACTTTGCCATTGTGCGAAAATTGCATGGAATTCGGCTCAGACATTCCAGATGATACCCCGCAGAAAATGACTAACAGAAATCATAAGAACAATCAATTTGTTTTTTATAACATCTAAATAAGCAAAATAGATAACAAATACAATTACTTTGATATCAAAGTTAGACTTTTCATTTATTTAATTTTTCATTAACGGAGTTTTTAAAAATATGATGTTTTAAAGATTGCCTCCGAGTTCATATTCAAATATTTTACTTACAATAGAATTAGTCAAAATATTTACAAACTGTAATTTTTGTTTTGTTTTCAATTTTTTTTACAGTTACAAAATAACAGTTGTAAAATATGTGAGTTGAAATATGTGGGTTTTCCATTAGATGTGTGGTTATAATTTAGATAATAACCATACATACATTTAATATATTTTCCCTTTCTGTTTGTAAACAACGGTGCGGGTGTGTTGTTGGTTGCAGCGGCGGCGTCGAGCGAGGCGCCGGCGAGGGACAAGGAGGCGCTGGAGCCGTCGGCGGGGGCGGGGGCGGGGGGCGTGGAGGCGGCGGTGGGCGAGGCGGGGCGCGCCGGCACGCCCACGCCTGCCTGGACAGCGAGCACCGCTGCTGACGGCACGTGCATCTCCAAGGCGCGCATGTGCGACAGCACGCGCGACTGCCACGACGGCTCCGACGAGGACGCTCTGGCCGGCTGCTCGCAGAGGTGGGCGCCCGTGCTGCTGCGCAGCGAAGGGCGATGGCCGCAGGCGCGGCGGGTTCGAGTCCCGGCGGACGCATTTTGTCAACGACCTGCTCGCAGATTTTTGAGATACGCGGTTAGGGAAAATACCTGTAAGCCGACATAGGCCTGCGCTCTGTTTTGCCAGCCAGCTTCGGAAGATCAAGAATAAAAAAGCGCTATATTTACGGGACTAATGACCTTAACAGTGGACGCGCCACAAATCCTTAATCAATCAATCGACACTACCTAAATATTTGAGTCGAATTCAGCGGCTGTTTGGAGGGGAATTTTAGCGGTCGACTGCTCTGATCGGTAGATTAAAGGGTGATCCGAGAAACAGCAGGCGAGTGCCGGAGGAGTACCCTAAAAAACGGGCCACGCATCGTGCGTAATATTTCGTTTCTCTTCCATGTCCCCCATAAGATGACGCTCCATTTAAATGCAATTCCCAGTGCACCTGAACTTCATTGTTGCTGAGCGTCCCAGTGTAACGTGGGTCGAGGCAGAGAAAGTCTGGAGGAGCGAGCGGCACAAGAATGAGAGAGGAGAGGGAAAGGAGAGAAAGAGAGGGGAGAGGGAAAAGACAGAACGAGAGAGAGAAAGAGAGAGGAAAGATATAGAGAGAAGGGAAAAAGAGAGATATAAAAGAGAGAGGGGAAAGTGAGGGAAAAGAGAGAAAAATGGGGAAAGGGAGAGGGAAAGGGGAGTGGGAAAGAGAGAGGGTAAAATGGAGGTAAAGGGAGAGAAAGAAGAGAGAAGGGAAGAGAGAGAAAAGAAAGGAAAATGAGAGAGTGGGGGAAAAGAGGGAGAGGGAAAGATTGAGAGAATTAGTTAACTCTTAAATGAGAAAAAGTACAAGATAACTCTTTCTAATGTAAAACGATATTTCCACAATTATTTCTTCTCAGGCAGAAACGCCCCGGGTAGCAGCTAGTCTCTTATAACGACGTCGCACGTGTGACATTCACACGGATAGTTAAGTAATTCTTTATCCACTGGTGTTTGGCGCTTACATGCAATATCTTTGACTGCGCCAGAATGCTCCCTGCTTAGAATTTCCCTGGAAAAGGCTCGATAGGAATACTTTTAAAATAGTTGTTTTGTTTTGTACCATACTGCTATCCTCGGGATATTGAATGGCAATCAAAACACTAATTTGTTTATAACAAATATTTTATTATAATTTAATCCACTAAACCACGTTTTACGACAATTTGACTGCATTTTCGTATAAACATACAAAAAACAATAATATTTATAAGAATTTAATTTTTTAATTGTAAAATTAGGTTTCATCATTATGTTCTCAATCTGATAAGGCGTGTTATGTTGGAAAGGCAATATTGTACTCCAACACCGTTTCACCTGTGTTGAAACATTGAAACTATCAAACACACACACACATTTCTCTACAATTCTCCCAGAATTAATTTCAGCGATTCGGCTAAGAACAGTGAAAGCGGGATTGTCTTATACAGAAGTATCTTACGAGATATTGATCACCTATTTAGAGGTCTTAAATAAACTTTTTTGGTGTTTATACCCCCCAAAAGCAAGTTGCTTCGTTTTTAAAAATGACATAGAACTTTCAGATTGTTTTCTTAGGTCAAATACTTGTTGACTGGACTATAATGGCGAGATTTAGAGACTTCCCAATTGCGGGAAACTTTAAGAGCATGGGGGCATATGACTTCTGGTGGCGAGATGTAGAATAAAGATTCTTTCCTTTCCCTTCTTTTCTATATAAAGAATAAGTTTAAAACATTAATATTGCATCGCAATAATGTAACATTAACAGATTTGTGTACTTAGTCTCATTTACGTTCAGAGGGCAGTATAGCAAATCGGTAGTCAAGTTTCTAATCATTATCAAATTTTGCAATTTCACTACTGGAATAAAATCGGGATTTGAATTTAAATTGATAAAAATTAAATAAGCCTGAGTCCGTTCACGAGCTGTCGTGCCAAGTACATGCATACAAACATGCAGTGTGGAAAGTCCGTCACCGTCGAATCCTACTATGTGCCGGCCAAAGTCGGTGTAGAGTCCGCGTCTGTAAGCTGAAGTCAACCGGTTCCCTGCTGGTGCATTTACCGAATCTGCAGAATTAAATCTTTTCAATAATCGTGTCCGTTCACAGTTCCTTCCGCCATTTTAGTGACACGTGATGTCGTATCTGGCCTTGTGTGGACCAGGTAACCGTTTCTCGCATCGATTCCGCGTGATGGCGCGCCCTAGAACGACGTCGCTCCGCGTCGCGCATAGCTCCCTGCAATTGGCGGCCAAGCGATTTTATGCACCTCCGGTGAAGTGTTCGTGACAGTAATTAGCTCGCGTGCACTTTCCGCGTGCTAGTGCGCTCGACTTGCGCTGTGACGTCAGTGACGCAACGCTCAATTGCCGTCACTACTAACGTTCGACGGGAACCAAGTATATTTGTATATTCCGTCTTGAAAAACAGATATTATTTTATACTTATTTATTTTTGATCTCTGCATTAAGTTTGTACCGATTTCGCTGTCACGGGGCTTGGAATATCGCTTACATACGCAGCGGTGAAGGCCACGGATTTGAATATCTTGTAAGGCAAGTAAGAGGCTTATGACAGGTTTGGCTTCTCTTTCCAAATTGTCATATGATCATCGTCTTTCCTTTCCATTATTATTATATGATCATCGTCTTTAATCATAATCATTCATACCTCATCATTTTTGCCACTCATCATTCATTCTAATCCATATCCGTGGTTTTCCCGATCAATACCAGGTGGATTGCGGGGGTAGTACTACTTTAACAAACGGGTAATGGACAGCGCGCGATGTTTTCTTCTTCGTCTTTGCCGCCTTCTCTCTCCTTACACCTGCACACACATACAAACACACCTACGTGCACTACGCTACCACTTCTATGGAGACTAGCACCCCGGGGTGGTATCCCGCTGGAGGAGATACCTGTAGGGGAAACATCCCCGCAAGCCACTCGTAGATAGGCGTCAACTCTCATGTTCTAGGCGGAGAACTCCACCACCTCCCGGTCTACAACAATCACTACACTAACTGAACCAATGGGTGTAGGAGTTGACAAACTCTGAAACAAAATAATTAATTTAACCCATGCTAGCAAGCATTCAGCTGAACGCCACGGCAAACCTCCACTGCAGTTACTTCTCGAGAAAAAAAGCTGACAGAGCAGCACAAAATTCCCTCTCGCATGTCTGCAAAGCTACCAACCTTCGAACTCAAGAAATTCATCATTATTTTCGTGAACTATTTCTTTCACAAAACACGTTTTCCCAACGTCGACACTGTGCAGAATTTGCATGGAATCAAATTGTCTACGTCCAATTTAAAACTCCATTACAGCTGACAAAAATAGTATAATTATTATAAATTATAAATCCAGAAATAAAATTTCAGATTCAGAAAATAAATTCTCCTTGCGAGTACAGACATGTTTTTCCACCTTCAGCTATTTTTCTATGAGACGCATTTATTTCGAATACTAGTTAAGTAGGAGAAAGGAAGACGTTGCTGAAACTTGTACGATCAATGTCTAACCCAGTTGAAATACCCATTTGTCTTTGTCAGACAATCTTCTCACTTATACATTATTTGCAGCATTGATCAGCACCTTTGAAGTCACTTAATCGATGCAGTGTGTTGTTCGTGTGGGGGACTAACCGGTGGAAAGCACCGACTGGTACAGGCCCCCGACAGGAAGGGGTCTTGGTTAACCTGCTGGAAAGGGCTTCCGTAAATGAAAACAGAAATCATTAAAAGGTGATAAACGTCAAAGATTGAATTCGCTGTTCATTGAGGAAATAAAATACGATTTAATTAAATACTTTCAGATATTCTTATACAAGCAGTAAAATAATAATTACGTATCTTTAATGATGATAAATTGTATTGTTGCTGATATATAAATGTCCAATTTAAAAATTTTAAATCAATATTTTTGAATAAAAATAAGTATTATTTGAGACGTAGCACCTTTGTGAAATATTCTTCAAAAAATGTACGTCAATAGTTAATTTTGATATGAGTTGTAAAAGTGACATTCTTCTTTTGCGAGTAGGAAAGAGATCGATAGGCCGAGTGGCGTAATCCTTCGAAAAAATAAAATCACATTTACCACGTGTGTCATTCAATATTTTTTAGACAACTTAACTAACTTTTATTTTATTTTAATTCACGTATAGAAATCACTTAATTGGGTACTATGTTTCACTACCATCTGTTTTGATCAGACGAAAGTATTTTGTTTTCTTTTTTGCATTCACGATTTTATCTGAACACTTAAGCAACGTTTCACTTTTAGAACTAGAACCCAAAATTTAATTTTTAGCGCGCTGAGCTTTTACTTGTGACTGTCTCAAAAGTTCTCTTTTAACTGCTCGTGTTCATACATCACGTGCTGTCACTCATGATCAAAGTACTCTTATAAACTTACTTTACACATCATATTTAAAACAAATTTTGTTTCAAAGTGTAATTTATTTCATTTTCAAATCACGATATTTTGTACATGCATGTAGAAAACTAAATATTACAGTCATTACTTTTTCGGGAATTTATTCAACCACCCACCCACTCTGCCCTTCTCACCCCCACATCCTCCCCACTTATTTCGCCCGCTACAACCGCTCGTGAGCTATGTCCTGGGCCTCTCTCCTCACATGCCTTCACGAGTAGTTCAGTCCTTTGAGGGTAATGGATTGGACAGGGACTGTTTATAGGTCGGTGGACGTGTGCAAGCTAGCTACGAGATTGTTTAGCTTCCGGCGCGCCAGTTGTTATGGTCATTGGTGCCGCAAGTGTATTTCTTGCTCTATACCGGTAGGTGGCGATGTTCTTTCCCCACTAGAATATGAGTCCGGCCCCGACATACACGTCGGTGTGCGAGATTTCCCTCTTTCAGGTATCTTTGTCTGCGGCCCGCGACCTATTCAAGCTCTAAGCTCTCAATTGGTCTCCTGGCATGTATGGTAGGGTAGTTAATGCAAATGTGTGGGGGTGAGGGTGGGAGCGGGCTAAAGGGAGAGGTACGGACGAACCTGAAGAAGGGAAGATCGCGCGCGGTCCTTGGCCTGTTTGTTAGGGCTGCTACTGCTTTAGCAAACGCCTGGTGTTGATCGGAGAAACCGTTGAAAACTACCGACCAGAGCAGAGGGCCGCTAGAATTCTCCTCAAGACAGCGACTAAATTCTACTTAGCTATCCATCTAGCCGGAAATCTGCCCCCGGGAAGACTCGTGTCATAGGGCTTACCGGTCAAAGACGCTGCAGTGGTAACAGTTGTATCTCGCAGCTAAACCGGTCCAACCCAGTCCGTGGAGAACTGCTTCC